ATGCTAGTCTTCATTCAACTCATCAGAGCATGTTTATTCCAGTGACTAACAAGCTTTCTCATTCCATCAGCATGAAAAAGATGTTTAACGCGTGAGGCTACCTCTGCATTTGTCATATATCACGTGTGAACTTGCACCCCCAAAGGATATCTTTTCATGTCCCAAACAGCCGTGGAGAGCACTGAGTGGAATAACGTATGGCAGCTGTTCCAGAGCTGTCCACACGGGCTTCACGACTTTTGCTTGGTTTAACTTGTTCTGACAAAAGAAAACAGCAAACGTCCCCTCTGTTTTTCTGGAAGAAGCGTGATTATTTCTAATTCATTAACAACAACTGGACTGACTCATCCCTGGTGTGTTCATCGCCACTACCTGTGTATATCTGCAGCGGTAAAGCCCTCCCTTCAGGCCGTGCCAACTCTCACCCTCAGACCATTGGAAAAGAAACGGGAGGAGAGAGTACTTACCAGGCGATGAGGTAGAAAAAGTCAGTTGGTCTAGACTCCTGGCTGAAGAATTTGAATCTATTCTTGGATCAGCCAACTTCAAATGTTTTCCATCTAAATGAAGAAAATGCCAAGGTTGCACTGAGTGTAAGTGTGGCGTTTAGGTCAGCTAGGTCCTCATGATCTTAAAGAAGCAAGTAGGCTTCCTGGAATTCATATTTCCAGAGCCTTAAGAAACCATAAGCCTTCCCTCCCAGGAGTTGTATAAATCCCAGATGCTTACGTGCTTATATGAAAAGTCTGACTCCTCCACTCACATATGTGGTCTCTGTTCCATGTCTGTGTGATCCAGGGAGCCAAGCTCAGTTCCTTGCTGGTTTCTGCAGGAAATATATGCACAGTATGCATTGTACATGCTATTATGAATTTACGGAGTATTTAGGAGGGTAGGAGCAGGGTTATGTGACACACTGAGTTGCCTTCTGTACCTCATTGGTTCTACTATGATACCAACCTTTCTCTTTTATCTTCTGGTCATTCAACTCACCAGAGCAACTACAGCTCTCTTGTTTATGACATGCAGTATCCTGTATCTGGGATGCTACCCATCTTCACAGCTACCCCAAGCTGGCTGATCCAGAATTTTCACAAGGGCAGTCCTTTGGATATTATTCTAAAGAGAAAGCTACTAAGTGGAGGAAAAAAAATAATCTATTTATGCATCTTGTTTTGAGGAACCCTCCCCCATACTGCCTAATAATCACAGCTTACATTTATCGAGGAATTGCTAGATACAGATCCCTATGCTAAGTAGACATTAAAATTCGCAGTCACTCCTAACAACCTGGAGAAGCTAAGAGATGTGGCCAAGCCATTCAACTAGAAAGTGATAGAGCTAGGATCTGAACCCAGGGAGCTTCAAGAGGAAACCCCAACACATTTTGCCACCTTTTGCTACACAACATATGCAGACCAAAATGGTGGCATCCATTCAGCGGCAGCCACAGCACTTGAACACCAGGACAGTCTTGAACTAAACCACAGAGGATGTTTCTTGTTAATTAGAGTCATTTCTGAGCCCCAGAGAGTCAGTGGGAAGAGAACACCTGACTCCCCTGCTTTCTTTCTCTTATTTCTTATGGATACAGTATATGCAGTGTCCCAGGCTGCAGAGAGACCCTGATGATCCCTGGCAGATCAAACACACATTTGCTAGCACGTCATCCTGCTGAATGTTACCCATTCTGTTGCTGCTGTGGTCTCACAAATTAGGGAACCCAAGTGAAAGGATGACTCTGATTTAGGATTAGAAAGGCCTGCAACCTTCCCCAGACCTCTGGGCATTATGAGAGAGTGACCCAGAAAATCAAATGCAGAGAAGTGTCCCGAGATCCAGGAGTTTTGTTTGAGGCATAGAACCTATTAGCTTGAGAAATTGGTCTGGAAATCTTATTGAAAGAGACAAATCATTCCACATTCTCTCCCGACTGAAAATATTGGGGGTAACAGGCTTTCCCTGATACCTTGGACCCACGCACCTCATGTCGGGATCACAGCCAAACTCTGGGAACGCTAAATGCAATGCAAGTGATAAAGGCAATTATTTTTTTAATGGGCAGTTCTGATTAATTCTGATTTCTCTGGCCAGCCATAGACTTATCTGTACCAGTCCCTCATTACTGTGAAGGTTGCAAGGCAGACAAGCGAATGGCAAAGAGAAATGAAGTTCAAATTGTGGATTTGTCATTATTGCACAGCTCAGCAGATGGTTGTCCAGCCACGGAGGCCCCTGTGACCAGCACCCCGACAACACACACACACACGCTCAGACCTCCTTTGTCCCTATTCTTGGCTAACCCCTAGTGGAGCATCATTGCATTCCGAAGCTTAACCTTGCCTACTTATGCTATTTATGAGGGGTGATAAGAAGAGTCCTTCAAATTTATATATGATAGCTATTATCATTATTATTTTTGCTGAGCACTGATGGATTCAATAATGATATAAATCACTGGAATTTAGTAAATGCTTATTCCATGCCTGGCATTGTGGTCAGGGCTTTATTTACATGAATTATGTCCTTTATCCTCAGAACAACCCTATAAAGCAGGGGTTGCCAAACTTTCTCTGTAAAAACCCAGATAGGAAATATTTCAGGTTTTGTAGGCTATATGGTCTTTGTAGAACTACCCACCTCTGTGGCTATAGCATGAAAGCAACTGTGGACAATACATACATGAATAAGAGTAGCTGTGTTTCAGCAAAGTTTGGTTTACAAAAATAGGCAGCTGATTCTGTGGGCAACAACAGTATGCCAACTGCTGCTCTACGGTGAATACTGCTAAGCTAGAATTTGAGGATTCCAGAGCTAAGAAGGTGGAAGACATGAGTTGCCATCTCCTGCATCCTTCCTGCTCCCCTGCTCTTGCTATCTAATTGTAGTTCTGGGGGAAGGAGAGAATGCAGATATTTTCACACGTGTCTTCTCACTGTGAGATAGCTGTTATTTGGCCACAAAGCGGAGAGCAAGCCCCCCCTTTGATGAAAACCCTGCATCTGTGGGGGGTGGGTCACTTCTGTCAAACTAGCCCCTTATCTGCAAGCTTGGGGTAGCCTGAACCAAACGCCCTGATGAGAGACTCAATCCCAAACTGCTCTCAGAGCCTCGTGGGTCTTTCTGTGTGAACCTTGGCTATATCTTCAGGGCAACCCCCAGATGGAGGGCCTAACACATGGCCTCTTTGTCCATGTTGTGGTGGTCCCCAGCAAGCCTGCAGCCCCATCCTTGACTCTCCTCTGTACCCCAGCACTGGGTTCTGTAGACCTAAGCAGGGTCCATCTCTGTGTCCCTTGGGAAGCAGGACTTTGAGGGAGCATGCCTTGCTACTCGCTGCAGCCACACACCCCACCACCACCTCAAAATTCTCTCCTAAACTGAAGTTCTCTAGTGGCTCAACAGAGGCAAAGAAACAAGGTATCCATCTCTTTTTTTTTTTTTTTTTTTTTTTCCATTTTTGCTACGGAGTCTTGCTCTGTCGCCCAGGCTGGAGTGCAATGGCATGATCTTGCCTCATTGCAATCTCCGCCCCCTGGGTTCAAGTGATTCTCCTGCCTCAGCTTCCAAAGTAGCTGGGATTATAGGTGTCTGCGACTGCACCTGGCTAATTTTTGTATTTTTAGTAGAGACGGAGTTTCACCATTTTGGTCAGGCTGATCTCGAACTCCTGACCTTGTGATCCACCCACCTCAGCCTCCCAAGGTGCTGGGATTACAGGCGTGAGCCACCGCACCCAGCCTCCATCTCTTCTTCTTGATGACCCCTGTACACATAAAGAATAATTTATGATCTTACACTAGGTTTTCTCAGTCTCTGCACTATGGATATTTGGGGCCAAATAACTCTCAGGGGGAGCTAATCTGTGCATTGCAGGATGTTTAGTAGCATTTTCTCCTCTACTCACTAAGTGCCCATAGCAACCCCCAGGTGTGACAATCAGAATGTCTTCAGACATTGCCAGATGCCACCTGGGGAACAAAATAGCCTCCCACTGAGAACCACTGTCTTAGACTGAAGGTCAATCATTGCCTTTTGCTCTCAGCTGTAAATTCTAATTTCCAATTCCAGGTAAATAGGAAAAATCATAGGCAAGATCTGTCAGCACCTGTGACATTATCTTTTGGTGTAAAATAAGCATAATTATCCCCACTGTACCTACGAGAAAACTGAGGCCTGGGCTGCACAGCTGGTAAGCAGCAGAGCCCAGATTTGAGATCCAGCCCCTATATATCTTAAACTACTTCAGATCTGATAATGAGTGAACACTATGAAGGTTTTCCTGGAATGAGGGAGAGTTTGCTATAATTTGCGTGGTGAAAAGAAAATTAGACTGTACTTGCCCTTTTTTTAGCATGTTCTATGTAATCTTGACAGCCGGGCTTTGAGGTAGATATGATTCTTCCCATTTTACAGACGAGGAAACTCAGGTTCAGCAAGCCTAAGAAATGGTTTGAAATCAACATAGCAAAGATTTGTCAGCCCCGTGTTTCTATGCTCAAAGCCTTGATATTTCAATACCAGGAAAAGTGGCTGGCTGCTCCCTAAAGGGGAAACTGAGTCTGATTTCCTACACAATACTCTACCTTTCTGGCCAGTATGTCCTGCCAGTTATAACAAAAGCTTGATGATGGCCAGGCGTAGTAGTTCACACCTGTGATCCTAGCACTTTGGGAGGCCAAGACAGGTGGATTACCCGAGGTCAGGAGTTCAAGACCAGCCTGGCCAACATGGCAAAACCCCATCTGTACTAGAAATACAAAAGTTAGCCAGGTGTGGTGGTGGATGCCTATAATCCCAGCTATTGAGGAGGCTGAGGCAGGAGAATTGCTTGCACCCAGGAGGTGGAAGTTGCACTGAGCTGAGATGGCACCACTGCACTCCAGCCTGCGCAACAAGAATGAAACTCCATCTAAAAAAAAAAAAAAAAAGGAAAGGTTTGTGATAAATGAGACTGACGCAGTCCCCCTTGCCTTTGACCTCCTCTTTCCTTATCCCAGTTCTGTATGCAGTACTGGCCTGAGAAGACCTCTGGCTGCTACGGGCCCATCCAGGTGGAGTTCGTCTCCGCAGACATAGATGAGGACATCATCCACAGAATATTCCGCATCTGTAACATGGCCCGGGTAAGTGCATGGCCGCCATTGCTTGCTGAGCCCCTCCTCCCCAAAACAGATGGTGGCTGCTGAGAGAGGATTCCGCTGAGCCAGCCAAGAGCCTGTGTTGTGCTCTCCTGATAATCTCTTCCTTGAGGAAGTGAGGCCTGTGCTGATTCCGGCTCCAGACTCAGCAATGACTTCAACACATAGAGATGCAACGAGCGGCATCCAACCTGCCATCTGCCTGTTTCCTGACACACTTGCTGCCGTGTAGACAAAACTTCTTAGACATTAGCTCTTCCCCACTGTGTCTCACTGTACTGCCATGAGTTGATGCAGACTTTGATTGGATCCCATACGCTTTGGGCCAGGCACTGCAAACACCAAGATGAAAAGTAATTGCTTACTTCCATAAGGAAATTCACAGGCTGAGTAGAGGAGTAGTGGTGGGGACGGGCAGAATAGCAGTCTATGGAATGGTTGCTAACTAATGCAGTTTGGTCACTACTCGGGATCCAGGGTGAAAGGAACTCAGGGCCTCCCCCGCCCCCCAGCTCAGAGTTCACTGTCTACTGGGAAAGTGAGATATGTTCTGGCACAGGAGCCTCAGGGAGAAAGAATTCTGCCCAACAGAGTCAGGGAAGGCTTTCCTAAAGAAAGGGACATTTAAATTGGGTTTTTAAGGCTGAGTAGGAGTTTTTCAGGTACAGAAGGGGTTCAGGGCAGTCTCGGCAAGATAATCTATATACACGAAGGAACAGAAGTAGTCATGGGGACTCTCCCCATGAGGACACGGCTTAGAACCCATTTAGTCTGTCTTCCACTATGATGCTGCAGTCCCCAGGTTATCTGTAAGGCTCGTGTCCCCAAGCATCCCCCGCAGAACAGCCCTAACAGCCTCTCTGTTCTCAGCCACAGGACGGTTATCGTATAGTCCAGCACCTCCAGTACATTGGCTGGCCTGCCTACCGGGACACGCCCCCTTCCAAGCGCTCTCTGCTCAAAGTGGTGCGGCGGCTGGAGAAGTGGCAGGAGCAGTATGACGGGAGGGAGGGGCGCACCGTGGTCCACTGCCTGTGAGTACTAGGGAGGTGTCACCAGGGCAACAGGGTGGTGGGTGATAGAGCATCCTTGCAGATGCTGCTGGCCACATATACCAGTCCTAGGCAGGCCTGGCTGTACCACAGCTCAACGTCCCTCAAAGGCTAGTGGCAGTGCATTCAAAGGAATTATGCTCCTTTAATGGAACAGGGCTGCCAGTTTGTTTTCCTGAACTAATATATGACACATCATTGATGCAAACCCTGGTGGTCTTTCCACAGACATGAGAGGAGGTAGCAGACCGTGTTCCAATCCTCCCAATAAGAAGGTGATGTAAGAGGCATGATGTGTTTTCCTAGTTACAAGAAAGCCCAGGACAAAGTGGGTTCCACTGATCAGAACCTCCTTTATTATTTCCCAAAGAAGGAGGAGAGGAAAGGGAAGGTGTTAAGTAAGCTTAATTTAATCCAGACGTTTTAAGTGAATCACCTCTATCCATTTATGAGGTAGATATTATCATTTTGTAGTGAGAAAACAGAGGGGCAGGCAGGGTAAGGTAATCAAGAATAAGGAGTGGGGCTGTGGCTTACATTCCCTGGTTTCTAAGCTAAAGCGCCATCGATTAACTCACACTGTCTCTCTGAGGATACTAAAGGACTTGTCTGCTGTGTCTGCCGCTCTACAACGGGCTTAGAGGGATCACAGAACAAAGAGAGCAGGAGGGAAAGGCACTGCCCTGAGGGGCTGATAGATGGATTTGAAGGGCCCTGGGAACACTATTGCCCAGGGGCACTGTGGGCTCCAGACCAGCTGTGTTTATGCTCCCATTGCTGGGGTGACCTGGAGATTGTACCTCTTCGAATGGACGTTGTCCTCTAATGAATTCTGATGTCATTATGCTGTGTGGAGGTCAGGACCTTGCGAGGACAGTGGCTGATGAGCTGTGCAACATCAAGAAAATCACTGAATTTGTAAGCCTCAGTTTCCTCACCTGTTCAATGGTTATGTTGAATTAGACAATCTTCAGGCCTGATAATGCCTTGGCATGAAATACAAAGTAAACACACTTTATCTGCCAACACAGAGATCAAGAATGTCGTGGTAGCAAATATGCAAATATTGTCAATGTAATTACTTAAAAAACCAAGTGTCACAGACTCCACCCTAGAGTATAAAGTAGCCACAGAGGATTCTACAAAGTCTTACACCCAAAACAAATCTGCAGCCATAACAGCCGTGTGTGAAATATTTGACTCACAGCCACTCACTTTGCTTCTTAGAAGTTCAACAATTTGAGGAAAAGTAATTGAGAAGGCCTGTCTCTTTAAAAATGTTTTGTTAAAGGACTTTTGAACCAAGGTCTTCTCTTTTTCAGAACAAATACTTCTGGAGTTAGTGGAGGCATTGATAACATCTGACTGATCTCAGAATTGAGGTCAGTCTTTAAAAACCAGTTAATTGTTCTTATTCTCCAATAGATGGTGCATGCAAGTTGAGAAAGTTAAGACAGTTTTAAGGGGGTCAAACATACGACACATGCAGATGCACACACAGAGCTTCAGGGCCACCACCTGCAGCAAAACCCCCTTTCCAGAGGAAGCGAACCTCACGCTAGAGTTCAGGAAGATGCCACGTGGTGTCCAAAGTCGGGTTGATGGGTGATATCAGCCAAGCCCACCTGGCTCTGTCTACCTCCCAGAAACTAGCAGCTGGTTTCCTGCCAGCTAATCCCTGCTGCCTCCAGATGCCTCACACACTCAGGTGACCCTACCCTAGCACCTGTCTTTCAGGGTCTCACACTACCAGGCCCTGAGACCCTGTGTCTGCTCACCTCTTCCTCTTGGTCACTGTTATTCTTGCTTCGTAGGGTCTCCTCCTTTCCTAGGAGACCCTGCTCTCTCTCTCTCCCATGTTTGTTTTTTAGCCTGCTTTTTTTTTTCCAGTAGTGCCTTTTTCTCCATGTCCTTTCCAGCCCAGGTGGCCAGTACTTTGAACCAAAGGAAGGGACAGGGACATTCTTCTGCCAACAGAAATCTTGGTATCCTTGAGGGCCACAGACACCATAACAGACCCTGAATGCAGGCACCAGTCAGTGAATGGAAAGCAACTCTCTGTACTTGAAACATCTGGTCATTGCATATCCTATAGATAAAACATCTGGGAGATTGAGTGTCTTAGTTTCCGTCCAGATGTTCCTTAGACACAGACCATTACATGAAATCATTAGTTGCTCTTGGCAGCATGCCCAGGAGTTCCGAATCAGGCATATTCCTACAGGGACGCTCTATAAAGAGTTTGAAGGGTGTTTCCATGAAGATGACTTATGGAGTTTCAGAAAGGAGTAACAGAGACATAGCTCTGCCATCAGCCCTCTGTCCCTAGGCTGAAGATCGGTAGCATCTTGCTTAAACCAAGGTGTATAGTAGAGACCTGTCATTTTCAGATAAAGCCTCTCCGTCCCACTCCAGTTCCCACCTCCAAGCTTAGGCTGGCTGGCCCTAGGCTAACAGAGTATTGCTGTCCTTAATGAAGGTTGGGAAGAACTAGCAGGAAAATCACTTGTGAATTTTCACTGTCTTTACGGGATGTTTAAGTGGACCTAGAGCATTCTTTTGAACACAGATACAGGTATCAGCAAGGATGCAGGTGTCACATGTACAAGACACAGTACCACCCTGCCCTTGGGGTTTGGGTGAGTGTGCCCTGAGTGTCTGTAACATCCTCATAGAACCAAGAAAACAAGCAGCTAATTGAACTTTCAAAGGTCATCTAGTCCAACCCTTTCATTATATGAATGGGGTACTTGGGACCCAGACAGGGGAAGTGACTTGCCCAAGGTCAAAGCAAGTTAATGGCACAGGCGGGACTCAAACCCTAACTCATGGCTCAGGCTAAAGCCTTCACCATTGCCTTGCCTTGCATCTGCCTAGGCAGCTGATCCCTATGCCTACGGATGTAGCTTTGGAATCATCAGGTGCCTGGAAGGGACCTAGGAACGTGGCTTACCTCTTCGTTCTGTGTTTAGAAACGGGGGAGGCCGCAGTGGAACCTTCTGTGCCGTCTGCAGTGTGTGTGAGATGATCCAGCAGCAAAACATCATAGACGTGTTCCACATCGTGAAAACACTGCGTAACAACAAATCCAACATGGTGGAGACCCTGGTGAGTATCCCAAGAACTGTTCTCCAACAGCCAGGGGCAGACTAGTTCCCTGGACCTGAAGAAAATGACAGCAAATAGTTAAATCACTCGACAGCTGGCCGCTGATTGTATACCTACAGTCTATGCCCTTGGTATGTCATCTGCCCTGTGTCTTCCCCTTCCAGCCTCCCCAACTTCCCTTTCTTGCAGGAAAATCAAATTATTAATCCTAGTACAACTACTTTGCTTCACTTTCTGCCCATTCTTTAAGAAAGTATTATTAATTCAGGCTTAAAGGAAAGGATTCTGGATTAGTAGAATGTGAAATATGTTTTCAATTCAGTCCAATTATATTCCAATTATTTTATGTTAATTTTTACAGTAGAGAGCACTGTAGAGGCAAGTGTGGTAAAGACAGTGTGCAGGCAGAGCCCCAGATGGTAACCTAGTACCGTGGTGGACCATGGCACCATGCACGAGGAACTTTAATAAAAGTCTTTAAACATACTCAAAGCGTGGCCTTCCTCAAAGCGAGGCCCTATATAATGTGTGGGCCACAGACCAGCAACTGCATCATTACCTGGGAGCTTGTTAGAAATGCAGAATCTTGAGCCCCACTCCGGATTTACTGAATCAGAATGTGCATTTTAAAAAGATCTCTGGCTGCCTTGTATGCACATCACAGTTTGAGAAGCACTGTTGTACAAAACAGTGAAAAAGAAAGGGAATGATGCCAGCTGGGCATTCGAGGAAGCTTGGGTAGAAGCAGGCATCAAGCAGAATTTTGAAGGGTGTCCAGAGATGGATAATTTTGAGTTGACATAATGTGGATGTAGATAAAGTTGTCTCCAAAATCTGTATCTCTAAACTAAATGCATTTTCCCTTTCCTTTTTCATCTCTCTCTTGTCTCCTTTTCTCCCTCTATGCCTCTCCTCCTCTCAGGAACAGTATAAATTTGTATACGAGGTGGCACTGGAATATTTAAGCTCCTTTTAGCTCACTGGGATGGGGAACCTGCCGGAGTCCAGAGGCTGCTGCGACCAAGCCCCCTTTTGTGTGAATGGCAGTAACTGGGCTCAGGGGCTCTGAGGTGGCACCCTGCCTGACTCCAAGGAGAAGACTGGTGGCCCTGTGTTCCACAGGGGGCTTTGCACCTTCTGAGGGCTCTCCTCTTGCTGTGGCAGATGCTGTTCCAAAAGGGCCAGGCTTCCTTTTCAACCTAACCAGCCACAGCCATGGGCCCAAGCAGAAGTGTACCCACAAGCAAGGCCTTGGATGTTTGGCTCCCAGACCTCCTGCTTTTGTTCTTTCTGAGTTTGTGGATCTCATGGCAAGCCAACTGTGCAGGTGCTGGGGAGTGGGAGGCCCAGCAGAACCTTCCCAGCCCTCCTTCTCCTTAGGAGTGGAGGAGATATGTGTTGTGCTCCTCCATGTCATGGAAAAGATTGGGGCTCTTGGGGGGGGGGGTCACAGCTCTGCTGCCCCCTACAACCTCCTTCAGGGGCCTCTGGCACCAGACACCTGCAGTCTGGACCAGTGTGACCTTACAATGTTCCCTAGGTCACAAGAGAGCCCACCCATCCTCACACCTAACCTGCATGGGGCTTGGCCCACAACCATTCTGTACCCCTTCCCCAGCCTGGGCCTTGACTGTCCAACATTCACTGGCCGGCCTGCTGTGTCCACAGCACTCTTTGATAAAGGTGTTCTTTGCTTTTTTGTGTGGTCAGTGGGAAGGGGTGAAACTGCAGAGAACTTCTCTGCTCCTCCTTGTCTTTGTAAAAAGGGACCACCTCCCTGGGGCAGGGCTCTGGCTGAACTGTAGGTTGTAACCCCTGACTCTCTTTGGTGGTAGCTTTCTTTGGAAGAGACAAACCAGATAAGATTTGGTTATTTTCCAAAGTGTATGTGAAAAGAAACTTTGTTTTGGGGATGTGTAAAATCTTAGTCTCTTATGTCAAAAAGAAGGGGGCGGGGGAGTTTGAGTGTGTACCTCTAAGACATACCTCTCGGGCCTGTTATTTTTTCCTAGCAATGTTCTGAAAAGCTCCCACCCTGGGACAGCACACCACTAAGCAGGGGAGAGAGGGGATAGCCTGAAGATGGTCCCTTTGGTTTCTGGGGCAGATAAGAGCACCAGCTTTGTGCAGAATTTGGAACTCCACATTTGAACTCCTTCCTAGAGAAACCCAGCTGCCACCTTGAAAAAGGACATTGTGGAGCCCATTATACATTGATTGAAAATAGGGCAAGACAATCAGGCCTGGAGATCTAGGGTCTTGTCCAAAGTGTGAGTGAGTCAGTGAGAGGGAACCACCGTTTGCTAAGTCTCTGATGTATGCCAGGGATCACGCTTGGTAGTTTCCATGGAACACCTCGCGCAGTCCTTAGAACCCCTAGGAGAGAGCTGTTGACTTGTTATCGTCTCCATTGATCATCTCCTCCAATGAGGAAACCCAGGCACCTTCCTCAGTGATGAAATCCTGGGTTCCAAAGGGGCAGGTAATGGCAGTGAAACTTCTCTGTGCTGTTTTCTTCATCTTCTCCAAGCCAAACAATTATTTTATGGAGGGAAAATAAGGCCAGAAGCTTCTGAGCAGAGAACTCCACAAATGGAAATTTAGTACTTTCTCCCTGACGCCAGTTCTTCTGGGAAGCCCAGAATTTCAGATATATTTTAGTAACTCATTCCCAGCTCCCCAGGAAAGCCAGTCTCATCTAATTTCTTAGTCCATAAAAACAATTCCTTGTTCCCTCGGGCTATGAAGGGACCAGCCAGGGACAATCTCGACCTTGATCTCCAGCCAGTGCTTAGGCTGGATATCTGACAGCCTCAGGTGGGCTGGGACCCAGGAAGCTCCATCTGGAAGGCTGGTCTAGCCCCAGACAGGGCACAAGGGACACAGATTTCAAGAAGGCACAGCTTTGACCGTCAAGAGCCCACTGTATGCTGGGGAAATTGAACCATGGTGCAGTGGTGTCGAGCAAATGAGTGTTCCATGAGTCTAGGAGCAAGAGAGCCTCTTCAGCCTAGGGCTTCCTAGAGAAAGGGACATCTATTCCTGCTGGGTCTAAACAGGTAGAAAAGAGAAAAAAAAAAAAGAAGAAACTCAGGCAAAGGGATCCCTATGTGCAATGGCAGAGAAATATAAAAAGGCATTGGGAGGAGCAGTATGGGGAGGCCAGCCCAGCAGGGGCACAGCACAACAGGGTAAGCAGCAAGGATGAGCCAGGGTCCAGGAGACAGATGCCTATCGTGAGTGCAGACTTTGTCCTAATGGCAACAAGGAGTCCATGGAGCTTCAGAGAGATGTACTCAGCTTCGTGTTGGCAAAGACTCCCTCTGGGCCAGTGGGGCTGCCTCTTTTCATCAGACACTGTGAAAACATTCCCTTAAGCGTGCACTTTTTAATACCACATCTATTTGTCTGTCTGCTCATCGTTTTGTTGCCGGAACACTAAATATGCAGTGCATCATGAGACCCGGCTTCTCTGAGAAACCCAGCGTCTCCGCTTTACCATGGAGCAGGGTCACCAATTCAGATCTCTAGGCCCATGAGGGTGGAACATGAAAGGAGCCCACAGAAGTTGCTTCCATTGGCATGGGCTCTGGAGCTGTCTAGAAGTCCAGGGACACCAGACTTGATCAAGGAAGGGCTGTCACTTTAGAGGTTCAAAAGGAAATACCTCAAAGCAAAGGCAAGCAAAGGAACCCCACGATGAACTTGCTCTTTTCTTTGATGAGCCTCTCCCCAGGTGTATTTCAGCAGACCCCAGGGACTCACCCCCACTGGGCCTGATAGCCTCTCCCAGCTCCAGCCCACTGCCCCAGCTGGCCTTTCCCAGTCTGCGATGAGCCCGTAGCATGGCAAATCTGCCTGCTGTATGCTATTCAGTCAGATCTTGGTACATCCAGACAGGATGAGGGTGGAGGGAGAGCTACTTAACACAAATCCTAAGATTTTTTTTCTGCTCAGGAAGGGGTGAAATGGCTGACAGATAAAAATGACAGTGGCTTCTATCATTTTAAATGGTACGGATTTAAAGTGTGACTTCACAGAGAAAGAAACTTGTGACTTCACGGAGAAAGAAAAAAAAATCTCAGGCCATGGTGGGCTAACCCAGCAAGGGCCAGTGAGATTCCCCCAGTTTATCCTCTTGTTTTCCCACAACCCAACCATTCTCCAAAGAAAGCAGGGAAGCGTATAGGTCACAGGCTCATGAATGGGGACGACTTGATGAAATTGAGGCTAATGGATGGGGATGACTTCCCTAAAATCCCATGTGACTAGGATGTGGCAAGGCTTGGATGAATAGGGACACTTGTGCCCAGGAATCTGAACATTTCCTTTACCCAGAAAATATCCTGATCCAATACTACCTTCCCCAGGGGGTCTCCCCACCCCAACCCATTGACAGGATGAGCTCAGCCTGTCGTGAGCAGAGGAAAATATTATTAATGCTCTGTGAGTCTTTACAACAGGAGCTCTTACCTTATAGATGTGGAGCCTGTTTGGTGAAGATGCAAGGAAGTGATGAGAAGACCAGGAACTTTCTCCACCTGTGTGTGTTGATGGTCTAGATAGTTTAGGACGTACCTCAGCTGCACTCCAATGCTGCATCCTTTCTGGTATGGAGAATCCGGGCCAACCAGGGGACCTTGGGCCTCTAGAAGGCCACAGTAGGCCTCTCTTTGTGGGAATGGAAGAGGACAGCTTTTAGTGCTGGCCCTCTCTGTGGGCGTGGCCTGAAAAGGAACCAACAGACCTTATGATGGGGACTCTAACGTGAGCTCACTAAATTCTTCCAACATTCTAAAGAACGGTTTGTGATGGTCACTATTTGACTGGTGAGGAAACTAAGGCTCCTAGAGAAAAATCCCTTGCACGTAGTTCCACAGCTAGTGAATGAATGAACCAAGATTTTAACTGGTTTTTTTTCCTTGACTAAAGAGAGAATATTTTTCCACCATTGTAGCTCACATTTTTCCTATGGGGTTACTCATAACAGAATAGACTAGAGTGAAACAGGGATCTCGGTGGATAAGCCCAAAGCAAACAACAGTAAGCTTAAAATTCCTTCACAGTCTTATGTTTTACTTTCACAATTCATGCAAAATTTGCGTTCCACTTTCTGATTTAGCCTGGTTGGCTTTGACTGTATAAATATTTTTTAAAAAAACAAAAACATGTGCTCTGTTCCTCACGTGGTTCTGTTCTGTTCAACCCACTATGATGGACCCTGGGTCAGCTAGTCTTCAGCTTGAGCCCGAGCAGTGACCCTGCTGCCTACTAGAGCCAACTGTAGGCTCAGGAACAAGACCAACTGACCTTCTCCTAGGCAGCTCCTTTGGTGTGGGGGTGCTCTGACCTCACTGTTCATGAGTGGACCTCAACTAAGGTATCTTCCAGTTGGGTGCTGGAAGGAACCCATTGACACACACTAGAATGATGAGGATTTGCACATCTGGCATGGAGAAATACAAGCCCACAAAACCATAAAGGGAAAGGAGAAGCTAGACACAGCTCTACTCAGCAAGTTCCTGAATGCTAGGCTGGAAAGTGATGCCTGTTGCCCAAGTGGAGTCACATGGTTGCTAATGTGGGCAAGTCTGAAGACACACTTCACGAGCAGCTGGTATTTGGAAGGCTCCTCACTTTACCCTAGCCACACATACTTACTGGGTTCCTACAGCACATAGCACCTTGGTGCGGGAGCACTGTTAGGAAACAGAGATTACTATGGCACAATTCATTCCTGGGTAAGGCATGGGGTTGCAGTGGACAGAGCTCATTCTTTAGTTGGAATCCCATCCCTGCCATTTCTTGGCCATAGAGTGTGGGCCAACCAATTAATGGGAAAACATACATGAAAAGAGGAGCCTCATCAACATTAGAAGGGGTAGATTTGGAGCACTTTAGGCAGAGAAACAGGAAGGCAAGGCCAGGAAACTGGAACCCAATGAATACTCAAAACCGAGGATGCAGATGACTTATTTAGCAAAGCTGTCACATCCATGACATAGCTGGACAAAGCATGGGTAATAGCTTGCCAGAGCTACTTGGAGCAAGGGCAGATCTCAGTGTCTGTGGCAAAAGATGATGACTTTCCCTCTGACCCATCAGGTTTATTCATCCTCCACTCCCCATTGCCACACTAGCTCTTGCTGTATGTCCTCACCAGGATCTACATTCCCTCAGCACTGGTGGGAACCCCTTGGAGTACACAGAGGTGTCAGTCCAGTAAGACTGTTCTACACAACAGAAGCGATACCCAGGGAGTAGCAGCCAGGCCCTTATCCTGTCATCTCTGCAGGCGTGATTGCCCAACCCAGATGCAGAGACATTCAAGGAAGTGATAACTCCCTGGTACCTCATTGCCTGGGAACAGAATGAAGAAATCCACCCTTCCTTAGGCTATAGCTGGCCACTCCTGGGCTAGGTAGGTCATCAGCACCAAGCTAAATCAGGAGTAACAATAAGGAAGACATGGGTGAGCCCAAGAGGAAGCATGGACAAGGGGAAAGTGGTCAACCCACTGGAGGGCAGGATAGAAGAAAAAAACATAAACATGGATGGCCATGTCATCTCAAATTCTTGACTTGCCTTCCCCGTTACTTAACAGTCTGAGCTCCTTCTCAGCCTATGACCAGCCTCAAATCATAGCCAAGTAAAACAAGGAAATAGGAAACATAGATCCAACTAGAATAGACAAGCTGAGATTCAGATTTGTTTACTCCTCCTATGCAAGGGCTCCCCGTTGGGGGTTTTCCACGTATACATGTCTAGAAGTGATAAAATGCAAGGCCTTGGCTTCGCCTTGCAGGGATCTGTCTTTGAGGTCATGTACCGCCTGAACAGCAGTGAGAGAGGTTAGTGGTGGAGAGTGGAAGGGCTGTTTTGGCTCCAGTTTCTTCTGACACAGGTTTCAGGGTCATGGATTTGATCCTCAGAAGCACAGCGGAGACATCTAAGCCTTATTTGTGCACATGAGCAGACTCTTCTAGTTTTTTAGTAACAAGGGATGGGCTTCTGCATGGCACTGGCTGTACGGTTGTCTTGTAGAGAGATCAAGCCAGTCTTTTGCATCCCACCTGCCCACCTCCAAAAGAGGTGGGAAAATGTCATCAAAAGGGCTACATTCACCACCTGAAATCCACCCATGAATGTTAGGTCTCTAAAAGGAAGAATCAGCACTCACAATGATAGCCTCCAACCATAGCATCCCACCTATCTAAGAGCTCAGTGGTGGTCCACTGGGGCAGATACAAGGGAAGTGCAAGGGCTCAGGATGAAAGATAATCTATTGGGAAGAGTTTTGGGGACTGGATCATTATGGGGCTTCCTTCTGTATCTGAGAGCTGCTCTGGGTGGTGGGATGTGGATTCTGATCCTTGGTTGATCAGAAATTCAATGTCTGGTGGCCTTGAAGTGTTAGACAGAAAAGTATCAGTGTAAAAACCTGGAGCACAAGGTAATTAACGTAGTTCATGGTTCCTTGGTGAGCAGGACTCTTGGATGTGGAGGAGAAAGGGTTACAGGACGTAACCCACCAAAATTACAAAATTGAGTCTCTGTACAATGACTTCAGTGCCTTTGGGCTTATGAATACAAATCAATGGGCCTTCTCTGTGACGGTCCAACAAACTCTCAGTGCCCACCCTGTCCCTTCCATCTCCCATGGAAGATGAATAATGTCAGGTGTTCTTTGGATCAAAGGCCCCAGAAGGCTTGGAGGACAGAATGGTGTCCTTCCATGTAAAATCAGGCTTCTGAGGGGTCAGGCAGAATCTGGTGTCCATATCCTCCATAGGTCTACAGATTATTGGATGAAGTCAAGCATTGTTTGCTAGGCCCAGGTCATGCCTCTGAGTATAACTAAGACCCATGAGTAAAACTTAATAGCTGTAAGGAAGAACTTGCTGTCTGCCTGAGAGGATAAGCCGCCCATCTTGGCAGCTGTCTAAACAAAGCCAGGTATCTCTTTAAAGGGAGGAGGAGCATTGCTGAAATGTCTTTCAGGTCACTTCCATTCTAGATGGGTGAGACCTTGTGGAGCTGGGATCATGTTTAAACTCATTCATACCTGTAGACCAAAAATCCAAGTAGACTGTGTTTGGTCTGTACAGGTTGAAGCTCCCTGCTCTCCCGCCCAAGTCTCCTCATGGAGCAGGCCAACAAGCTATTGTGGCCACATATACCAGGCTGATCCAGGCTGATTATCACCAAACAGCAAACCGCAGGGAACAGCTGCTTTGTCATAGACCCAATACCCATGTGGATCTCTGATGAGAACAGCCATAACTCAGACTCACTGACCAATAGGGCCGTGAGAGACAGCCAGAATCAGTGAAGGCCCAAGCAGGACACAGAGCAGGGCTTTGCTTAACGTACATATTATCTCCAGAGGTTATTTCTACCCCACTCCCTATTCACGGCCTGTTGGAGCAGATTGCAAATGCAAAAGCACAGTAACTCAATGTACACATGATTATAATCATTTCCAGTGCACACATCTCATCACCAGGTAGATCCTGAGCTAGCCCATGTCAGTTCAGGTTAACTCATATTGATAATCAGACTCAAAAACACTTTCACCCTACAATCCACCAGCCAATCAAAGGCAAAGAGTTGTGGTCTCTACCATTGCCTTGGCTTCTGGACACCCTCATAACCCTCTACAGGCTCTTACAAGGTTCCTGCTCAACTCCAGGGAGGCTGACATCTTCACATCCACTGGGCATATGATATTGCATGAGACCAAAGTCTCCACACTGTTTGCAGCCTCCTCCATGAATCCCAATGGCCTGCACTTGTACAGTTTGGGTGTTTGATAGATAAAGCACGTATGAGAAGAGAAAACAAAATAAATCAACTTTTTTAAAAAGCCAGCACTGTGCTGTCAATGTTGTTTTTTTTTTTTTCCTTTTCAATTTTAGCTTAAAAAAGCAGAAGGTAAATAATGTCAGGTCAATGAATATCAGATATATTTTTTGACTGTACATTACAGTGAAGTGTAATCTTTTTACACCTGCAAGTCCATCTTATTTATTCTTGTAAATGTTCCCTGACGATGTTTGTAATATGGCTGTGTTTAAAAATCTATACAATAAAGCTGTGACCCTGAGATTCATGTTTTCCTAAGAGATCCGTATTGGTGTCTTCCTGAGGTTGGGTAGGGATGAGGTGGGGACAAGTTGAAGGAGGAGGAGAAAAAGTTTATTTTTAGCTGGGCACAGTGGCTCACGCCTGTAATCCCAGCACTTTGGGAGGCTGGAGCGGATCATCTGAGGTCAGGAGGTCGAGACCAGCCTGACCAACATGGAGAAGCCCAATCTCTACTAAAAATACAAAATTACCCAGGTGTGGTGGCGCAAGCCTGCAACCCCAGCTACTCAGGAGGCTGAGGCAGGAGAATCACTTGAACTCAAGAGGCAGAGGTTGTGGTGAGTTGCCACTGCACTCCAGCCTGGCAACAAGGGTGAAACTCTATCTCAAAAAAAAAAAAAAAATTATCAACTAGGTTTCTTTATATTTAAGTTAATTTAATCCTTACAACTACATCACAGGAAATACGTATTATTCTGTCTTTGCAGATGAAAAAGTTGAGACTCAGAAACAAGGGATTTTCCATGACTGCACATTGAGCTAGTGAAACCATTGAGTGTAAAGTGGTGTTTCTCAAGTGTGGTTCATAGAGCACTGGCACCAGAATCACTGGGAAGTTTGTTAAACATACACATTCCTAAGCCCAGAGGATCACAGTTTCAGGGTCTGCATTGCTAACAAGCTGCCTAAATGTACCAGCTAGCTATGGCTGCATAATAAACCACCCCAAAACTCAGTAACTTGACACCAAAATATTTGATAACAACCAGCTAAGATCCACCTATTCTAAGCTGAGCTCAGCTAATCTCAGCTAGGTTCATTCATGTGTTGGTTAAGGGCTCTATGCTAGGCAAGGCTTGGCTGGGGCATGTAAGCTGTTATGGCTCTGTACGTTATATTCTTTATCCTCCTCCTGGGACCAGTGTGCTAGCCTGTGCATATGCTTCTCATAATAATAGCAGGAACATGAGAGAAAGAAAGTCCAATCACATGCATATTTTGCCAGGTCTTTGCTTAAATAATATCTACAACATCCCCTTGGACAAAGCTAGTTACATGGAATTTTCAGAATCTAGGGGCAGGGATTCTACATCTTGACACAGACCCCTTGTCTCAATTTTCCAGTAAATGATGAGGTTGGCCAGGCACGGTGGCTCATACCTGTAATCTCAGCACTTTGGAAGACCAAAGTGGGAGATCATTTGAGCGCAGGAGTTCAAGACCAGCCTGGGCAATGTAATGAGACCTTATCTCTAAAACAAAACAAAACAAAAAATTAGCGAGGCATAATGGCACACACCTGTAGTCTCAGTTACTCAGGAGGCTAAGGTGAGTGCATTGCCTGAGCCTGGAAAGTTGAGGCTGCAGCAAGCTGAGATTGCACCACTGCAGTCCACCCTGGGCAACAGAGTGATACACTGTCTCAAAAAAGAAAAAATGCTGAGGTTAGATACGAAACCAGTGGTGCCTGATGCACCCTTTAACTCTCTAATCACAGAGTGCAATCCATGGGTCACCTACATCATGGCACCTGGGAAACTTCTCAACATGTAGAGTCTGATTCAACAGGTCCAGGATAGGAGCTAAGAATCCAGATGCTCAAGTGCCCCCAATGATTGTAATAGATGCTAAAATTAGGCAAGCACTGTTTATAATGCTATTGTTATTAGAGGGGAACAGATAAAAGCCCAAGAGGAACAGGTAAGAGCCCAAGCCAGTGCTCAAGCTGGGACATAAAGCTGCCAACCTCTCAGGTGGATGCATATGTCCTCTATTTTCTTCTGGATGAGCAGAAGAAATTACTAGAACCTGGCTCCTTGGCATTTACTGGTTCTCAAGTTCTTCGTATAAGCCTGAGCTAGAAACACAAGCCGGAGCCCAAGGTTCACCTTGTTCTCTTGCAGCCTTGGGAACTCTGGCAGGGTTCTTCTGCCCGAGGAACCTAGATACATGGCTCACCAGGCTTCCCAGGCCACAGAGTCTAGAGAACACATGCTTTCCAGCTTGGGGGTACGATGTGGGGAACCTGGTATCCAGCCAGCTAGTTATCTTGTCACCTTGTCCTTGGTCATGTTAATCTCACTTTGTCTGCCTGCTATATTTATGCTTTGGCCACAAATGTAACAGATGACACTGGAGAAAGAAAAGTAGAAAGAAGGAAAAAAAAAATCTTATATAACCCCTAATTTAAAAAAGTACTTTGGGACGTATTGTTCTTCCCCAGAATGGAAATCGCTTTATTTATTTATTTCTATTTTATTTTTAAATTTATTTATTTAACTTTTAGTGCATACTATATCTGGCATTTCTCCCTATGTGTTATGATAAAAGTAGCACATACTCACTTGAAATGACTCAACATAAAATTATTTAAGGCAAAAGGTGAAAGTTTCCATTTCTCAAAGGTAACTGTTAATATTTTTATGCCATTCTCCTATGCATAAACGTATACATTCTCTACATATGTGACATCAACCAATATATATTCTGAAACCTGCCTCTTCTCATTTAACAACATACAGTTGTCATATTTCCATGGAAATATGCTTAAATAAATATCCCTTATCTTCCTTGACACCTCCCCATAGTACCCCTGAATTTGAAGCTAAGCTGCTTTGGGTGCTTCAAGACTTGTGTTCTCCCGTGATGCTAAGAGAGCCAGTCCTGGCTTCTGGATCAACGTTAGCAGGGAGGGACATCCAACCCTATGCACTGCAGTCCTGGAGAGAGACTGATAATAGTGGCACCGCTCTCTTTATGTGTCTGTTGGCTGTCCAGGTAGGCCCTAGCCTGGCCTTCCTGTGTGGCTAGACCTGGAGTGTGGGCCCATGTCAGACCTAGGAGCACCTTGACTGGTAGCTCTGGTTTGACTTAAGATCTTCCTTTAATTCCAAAGGCTCAAGCCTTTCATCAGAACTCCAAGCGACCTAGAAGCCCTCAGATTCCTGAAGACATGGGACGAGGTCAACAATATGCCATGCGGAAGGCAAGAAGAGGGATTCGATTCCCTCCGACAGGGTTCGGTGGTGGCAAGGAGAAAAGAACAGGAATAGAAGCAGAAGAAGATGGGGAGATAAGAGAAAGAAACCACTCTAGCTAATTTCAGAAAAATTTTGACCACTTAATCTTGAGGATGTGCAACTAGACTCAACAAAGTCTTTGTCTGAGAGGCTTTCTCTTGAAATGTAATGGAAGGACTGAGCCTGAAATCATCTCTGACATGCAGTAAAAACATGGCATCCACAGGGAAATGATACTCACAAACTGAACAACTGGAGAAAGAAGAGCATGGCATTATAACCCCCTGGAAATTAACATAAACTGAGGAGGGCATCAGTTTTCCCAATCTACAGAATAGGCATTGGAACAAAATTTAACTAGCTATTCAAGGACATTTGGAGTACATGAATAGGGAAATATACAGAGAAATATACAGATGCATAGAGAAAATAAAATGAATATATAAATGAATGAAAAACCACATCAGTATATTAACAGTGATTATATCCCATCATAAGGAACATGAGTATTTTTTGTTCTTTGTAATTTTCTATATTTTATAAATGATACATAATTTTAATACCTAGAAAGGTCAATTATAGAAAAAGAAGAGGTGACAAGAACGTAGGAAAATCCAGGCAGAACAGGTATGATGATGCCAGAAATAGGGTCATACCCCAAGACCTGCCATATACCTGAATCAAGAGGTTTGAAAACGTGGTACTGCCCATCTCCTGCAAAAGGGGAATACAGTCAATCAGTCAATGTCCCAAAGGGAAAAATAAGCTTTTGCTCAGAATAAATGAAAAACATTCCTGCTATAGAGCCCAGAAGAAATTTTTTTCATGAGTCCCCTTAATAAATAATGGGTTCAACATATCCTTCACTGACACAATGTATTCCTCTCCCTGAAGACTCACGGCCTCATGCCACAGAACAATTCAGTGAACGCTCTTCACTGAAGGACCAAAATGAAGGGGCCCAGCTACACGGTTCTCTGCAAGTCAGACCTAAGCCAGGTGTAGGTTTTCAGAATCTTAAGTATTATATAAACAAGTTTTCTCTCATCTCTGAGCATCCATGAGCTGGAGGCTTTTAGCCCAGAACCAGCAAAATACTTATTCTGAGTTGTTGGTTGAATTTGGAGTCTGAGTTTAAGAGCCAGCTGGGCCAGAAAGAGAATTAGTATATCCTTTTGAGTGATGAGGAGCCCAACAGATACATGTGCTGAGACAGAAAATGAATCTATTTCTCTATTACAGTGGGGCACAGCAGGGCCAAGAAGTAAACTCTCATTCCGGGTTATAATGAGGACTGGCTCCATCCCATTCCACTTTGCCTTAAACTACTTACAAATACTTAGTCAAAGCTGGAAACCTGTGACCGCACCTGGCAGCCAAATCATTGTGTGAATCGGGAGGAATTTCCTCTGATTATAAGACACAAGAAGCTGAAATGAAAATCGTAATCAGTGTCAATGCTGAATCATGTTTTGCTGCCTAAAAGATGCAAAGAAGCCTCAAAGAAGATAAAGCGGCTCATCCCTCCCAGGTCCCTGCTCCAGATGGTCTGTACTCACTCAGAAAATTGGTCAATCGTCCATTTCTCTTTCCTGGGAGATGAAATGACATTAAGAAAAACTTCTATGGGCAGGAGAACAGCCGAGAGAATCTTGAAGAAATGTATGCTGAGGATTTTAGCTGTCATGCCACCCCCAATCTGTTTGAAGCTCCCCAGAGAGAGGAAGGGAGCGGTAAGAGCACCTTGTTGGTTGAATGCATGCAAAACCAGGTAAAACTGATGCCTCTTGTGTAGGGCTTCAAATATGCTCAGCCTCACCCCTTATCTCAGCCATGTCCAAGCATGCTTCTTCAGATCTCATACAGGAGAAGTTCGTGGTGCCTTTCCTCACACAGGCTCTGCACCTCGTTTCCTCTGCCACAGTTTCTGGTATTTTATTCTCTGAGATGCCCACAGGAACCCACTTAGCACTTATGAGTGTGCCACCTGGAAATGTGGGG